TTGGCTACCATAGCGTATATGCCCTTTTTACAGTCTTGCGTCTTCCCATTGAAGTCACCGCCCATGGTGTGCGTTTTCCCACTTCCCGTTTGCCCGTACGCGAAACACGTGGCCATTCCGCCTTCAAAGATGGTCTGCACCAGCGGCTTCGCGGTGTACTTATAAACGATCTCGTTGGTGCAGGTCTCGTCGAACGCGTAATCGAATCGAAAGATTTGGTTTTCCAAGTATTTGGTTAAATCGACTTTGGCCTTGGGCTCGTGCACCACCATCTGATCCTTGCTGGGCACGCTGATCACGTCCACCTCCTTGCGCGCGTTTTCCTTCTTGTTCAGCGGACGCTTTCTAACGCACACCGTAATTTGATGATCCTCCACGGTGTCCGTGTCCCGCAGAGGCCTGAAGTCTATACTGTTCTGGTATTCTCTGTATTAAACAAATTACTATGATTAACGTCCCCAATTATTCTGAAACCGTACTTGGTTAAATTGTAGAGTTCTCCGTTTAGAAGAACCTAAAGCTAATGAACCAGAGAATGTACGAAGATAAACTGACCTGATCATGGCAAGGAACTCCCAGTTCGGATTGCCAGGATCTAGATTCATGAGGGCTTCCTTCTCCTCTTTTAGTTCCGCTTGTCTTTGTCTCCTCTCCTCCCTGTTCTTCTTCAACCTCTCGACTTCTTTGACGACGTTCGAACGTCTGTTCCGACCGTTCTCAACTTGAGCCTGCTGTTGTTGGGTTTGCATCTGTTGCTGTTGCTGCTGTTGTTGCTGCTTTTGTTTAGCCTGAACAGCCACAGGAACATAATTGGCCGGCGTCGGTGGTATGTTCTCCAGCTCTCGACGAGTCGTCAGACCAGTCATGGAGTCACCGTGTCCGTTGACGGTCGGTGCAGCCGGCATTACATTCGTCGGTCGACCCGTTACTTGTCGCGGCAAATTCCTGTTAGAGCCCGCTGCAAACGATACGTTAGTCTCGAGATCTGAGAGTCCTCGAACAATCCAGAGACGGGTAAAATTCGTTACAGGTTTCGAAAGGTTTAATTTGGCCCATCTCTGGAGCGATCGAACGATTTCTCGCCAACGATGAAAATGCGCGCACGAATAGTGAACGCGCGCGGCCTGTTTAAAGATCAAACAATGGATCAATGATCTTATCGCAAGTGAAACGAATAGCGTGGTTACCGTGGTCATCTCGTTCCGGTGAAACTTGTGTGTCGTCGATGCTCCCGTCGTCACTGTCTATCTTATTTTTCCTGCCGAAACAACGAGTCAGCGGATCGAACCTCATGGTGAAGAAACGCGCTTTCCCGCTGACTTTCGATCGATTCCCGGCAAGGTGAAGGCGAAGGTTAAAGAAATCGAAGGAAACCAGTAGAGACCGCGATACGACCTAGGAGTGCAGCAGCCTTCTGACCGCGTACTGTCCGTCGAGGTCCTTGCCCTTGTGCTTTTGCATACAGCGCAGGAACGTCGATAGTTACGAGCGCCAGCCGCGAACCGCGTTCTTCTATGCTAGCCGACGACCCAGTGCTCGCCGAAAAGACCACAGCGTGCTAACGGCACATGCTCGTAACGGAAAATCGATTTCCTCGTCGTCCACGTACGCGTGCCGTGAGCCAATGCCAGGCTCGAGCAGTGATTACGATTACTTTTGCAACAATAGCAATTACCGGGTCGATCGCTACCAAGATACGGGATTATCTTCTTCGATCTTTCTTCAATCCGAATACGATAGCTATTCGAGTGCTTTAAGCCGCGCTAGCGATTTTCGTCTCGATTTATATCGAATCTGTTGTGGAAGCGTGACTGTTTTTGACGAGCCATCTAATGAAATTTGGTGTCTACTTTCGATTGTCCTGCTCAGCTGTACACATTACGTCGCGGAAAAGTTGGAAATTCGCGACGCGTCACACGTTCGCGCGCGCATTCGTCGTGACGAGTTTCGTGCGCGGAAAGCGTAGTACGACGTACCTTTTACTGGAATCGAGGGTTTGGTAGAGTGCTGCAAAAAGAAAGACAGAGAACATGTATGGTTAACGTTGCTAAAAGTGAAGGACGGACGGTAATTGCAATAAAAATTCATTCGCGTGGTAAAAGCTTAGCGTACTGTAATCCGAGAGTGCTACAAAAAAAGGTAAAATAAAATGTACGTTCTTTGGAAGCCAAGTGTATGATACATCGCTTGGGAGCACGTTGATAGAGACAGAGTCGGCGCTAGAGTTACCAACCCACCGATGCAACTTCCAATTTGGGAATCCTTTTCTAACTCAAGTTACACAAATTCAAAATGGGTGAAACCAAAGCTTGAAGTCGCATGACAAATATTACAAAGTGGCCACTACGGACCATTTGCACTCCAGGGGCTCTGAATAGAGAGACAACAGAGTCCTTGAAGAGGACCCAGAAAAAAGGAAGGCTTCGATTATATCAAACACTTTTTGATTAATTATCACATCGATTCGTATCAACTCTATACGGTTATTATCTCCAAAAAATCGCAGATTCCTCTACCCTACCTCAACCCAACCCCTAAATAACTGTAAAGAAGCGTTCTTTTTTTTAATACTCTCAAGTGTCTTTATCAGGTAAGCGACACGTGGTCTCGATCTTTGACAGTCTCTGTTCGTTATTTGTCGCACGATCGCGATCCGATCGATCGAACGCGGTACGCGTTGGATGCGCAAACAAGGGTTACGAGCGATGTGCGTAAGCCGTGACAATGATAGCAATCGTGCAATGGTGAGAACGATCGGAGGATAAAAGCGACGGTGATTGGTTTGGGAATGGTCGCGAGGGTCGGAACGCGAAAGCAAACGCGTTGGCGAGGAATGCGATGCGGAGTCGGATGCGATCGATGACGAAGTAACCAGGAAACGACGGGTGTGGAAACCAGGGACTTGGGGTATTTTCAAAATTGGAGAATTTTAGTCTGGAATTAGGTAATAGAAAAGTTCTTCTGGGAGAGATTATATAACAGGGCAGTGGTTCCCAAGAGATAGATAGAAGATATAACGGTATAATAAATGAATAAAAATAAGGTGATGGAAAATTGGAACTCTGAACAAGATTTACCATAGGTACGTGGACCAAGGCACTTCTCGAGATAACGTTAACACATATCTCTAATTTTTCCTTTTTCTCTCAATAAATATACATTTTCCGTTTGATTATTAAGCCCATGAAATTTGAATATTGAAAGTTATTGGTACGTCAGCTGAGTGGTACCAAGTTGGAGGTGCTTGGGAACCCCTGCGACGAAGAGCAACCGCTATGAGAATCGTGGTCGATCGGTTCTGGATACTCGGAGAACGGGGAAGGGGAGAGTGAAGAGAAGAAGTGAACAGACCGCGGAGCGTGGGATTCGCGTTTACCGAAAGAGCAGATATGACTCGTACAGGAAGCGTTGCAGATGCAAGGCCGTTTCTTGCGGCGTGACCGCCGTGTCGTCCAAGGGAGCCCTCCTCTTGGTTTTCCGACTCGTCCACCCCCTCGTCCTCTTCGCACGAACCGTCCTGCGTTTCGTTTGTATTTTTTTTTTTTTTCGTTTTCACGCGAGTTTAAGACTCGATTCGATGGAAACAGGATGCGAGGGGATCGACGAGTCGAGATACGTCGAGAATAGTAGATATTGCGAAGACGCGCGACGGTGAGACGACGATGCGAGGTCGTTTTTGGGATTCGATCGGTTTTGGACGGGATCCCGAGGTCGTTGATGATCCATCGTCGACCCAAGTCCGTGAAAATGAGCAGCGTCCATGGAGGAAAAAAGATGTTATCGTGTTAGTAGCGGGAACGACGAGGCGACTTTTGATGGCCGTGAGGCTCTCTCGGTGCAGCTTCCGGCGCTCTTTGCCACGGAGACGACAGTAATAGGAGAAAGATCGAAGCAGTACACCGGTGATTCCTAGCCCTTTCATGGCACCGTCTACTATTGTGCAAACTACATAAAATGAAGTAAAGTTACGTTACGGTGCCGTGACATAGCGGTGAAGAATCACTGTTGTAGACCGAGGTTCCTTTTGTTCACGTGTGAACACCGAAAGAGCGAACGGATGAGACGGTTAACGGTGATCGTGACGACTATAGTCGTTCACGAGAGTATGACAAGTGGACCACGCGAGTGGATGAACGCCCACGCGATTTTAACGAAAGTTCGAAAGTGGATGGCGAGCCGAAAAACTGAAATATTTTACAGTTTTCTATTTACCAATAACCGAATTGACAATTTACGATTACGATTGCTCGTTTTAATTTCCTATCCACGAACGTCCATGAAAATCGACGCGCGATGCTTCGCGAGGTCCCAAATTCCATAGTTCAGTCACTCCAACGCGAAATGCACAAGGCATCGTGAAAATATGTCTCTCAAGCACAACGTACGGCGCGAGAAAAATATTTTCGCAATAAAATGTAAAGTGACTGGACGGTACAAGCTCAAATCTTCAGAGATGCGCGTCGGCTGTAATGGTTGACGATGGCGGAGCCTACCTGGAGAACGTGCTACGATGGAAACGCTACGAGGAAGAGAAATCGCGAATGTGACACGTGTGAACTCGATTTTCGTTACTCAAAAAGGGGTTGCAGATCGCGTGGTTCTACACCCAGTTCGATCGACCTTCATTCCTCGATTGTATTCGACCAAATGTCGATCGAACGATACGTACCCTTGCTCTGGAGGTAACCATCGCGTGGTTGTTGATCTGAGGAGCCTGCTGGGGGGGTGCCACTGTCTTCTGACTGGCCAACTCAGGGTTCAACGGTACGATCGCGTCGATTTCCACCTAAAAAAAAATCATTCACCAAACTGTCGTTACTCGATCTGTTCGTTCTTTTTCCATGTCCTGACGATAATCGAGGTTCGACTTTCAGGGAATATTTTTCGCGACTCGATTACCTCTTTCCCCTTCGTTTCTCCTCTCTCGAACCATTCCACGGTGACCGTGCGCTGTTCCCAATTAACGCCGGAAACCACCGCACAGTGGATGCGACCTGGAATAAGCAAACGCGTTAACGCGGCTGTTCGAGCAATTCCTGCTAAATTCGACGAGGCTCGTACCGATCGCACTTAACCGAGTAAAATAATACGAGTCAGTCGACCCACATTTCACCCAGAACTAAACGTCTGGCAATGAGCTTCGCCCGTTTAGCGTCACGTTTCTGGAAAAAGCACGACAGGTTGATGCAATTACACCATTGCACCTCGTCGCGTCGACTCATCGCGTAATAACTCATTGTCCGTGTGTGCGTTGTTCCAATTACGCTCCATACGACTCCGTCCGCGCTACCACCGATGCACAAATGACGCTAGGTGTGTTCCGACTTCCGATTCGTACAATGCCCATCGCGAATCTCGTCGGAAGTCGGGACGAGGCGGAGTTGGGCAAACTCGATTCGAAACCGAAGAATGGAAATTCCGCGTTTATTCGCGAGAACGAAAACAAGCGGAGTCCTTCAGCGACTGACCTCCAAGAGCCCAATATGGATTGCTCCAGGGTGATCGGCTGAAAGACTGGTTCGCTTTTGTTGTCGCTGATAGATGTGGATTTTCTTTGTTCGGCGGAAAATTTGGCCCAGGTCTGGAGCAAGATGGTGGACGGAATCGTTTGAACCGTGCATGTTGGCAACGAAAAGATCCCTCGACCCCAATCTCGAATTCGCGTTCGTATCTCGTAGGATGGGGAGGACGCAATCGGTTTCGCTTTCTTGTTTTTGCTCGAGGTCCCCAACGGCAAGAATAGAAAACGTCGTTGTCCTCTTTCCATTCTCGGCGGAATTTGAAAATGAGCCAGCGCGCGGTCTCGGCCAGCCACGCACTAGCTCTATAAACTTTTGCTAAGTCCTATCTCATCGATATCCGATAACAATCGCAAATACTGAAATGTACGAACGAACAACGAGGAACTGAAATTTCTCGAACAGAGAAGAATCTCTGTTCGAGCTACGAAATGGGGGATCGCGGTGCATGAGAAACGAGTAGCGCGAAAAAACGTACGCGAATGACGTAAGACCAGATAAGATATAAGGTAATGTTCGGCGAGGTAAGAATCTCGTGACGGCCGCCCTTATAAGGATGCAGCGCCCACGTGCGCGGCTCTCCGTTTACTGCGCGCTGGATTTCGGACAAGGACTTCGCGCTTCGTCCAGAATCTAGATACTTTTTCATTTCGTCGAACAACGGTCTGAATTCTGAACGAAAAAATGAAGACTCGACCAAGGCAATGCATTCCTTACATGCTGTAGGAAATAGCAAATCTGTGCTTACATAAAGTATAAATTGATATTCTACAGACTAATTCTGTACTCTATATTGGAATAATTGTATGTTCTAAAGGTTATTGCTAATAACTAGACTGCGGATCTTTGTGCATTCGTAGGAAATTTGAATGTGCAAGTACCTACAAAATGCAAACGATATGCACGAATATAAAAAAAGATTGAAAGTAAAGTTCACGTTATAACATTTGCAGAATAAAATAAATTCTTACTTAGGTTCGATTTTTGTAGGCACGTTCGCGAAGATTTTATTTTGCATAAAGATCCGCGGTCTACCAATAACACTTGAATAAAAGCTTCGGAAACAAACACCTCAACAACAGCTTGACTGAACCTTCTATATACCACTTTGTATTTAATCAATTTTACCACCAACAATAGATCGAACCTTTTCCTTCGTAATATCATAAATATCTTCTTATTATCAATGTACTTTCGCGGAAAATTCGTGGAGGGAATGGCGAGTGCCCACGTGGCCCGTCAGGCACCCGCAGCGGAATGCGTGTCGGCCACTTGTTGCGTCGAACGTTGCATTACGTTCCTACCGCGTAATATCCACCCTCAGCCATGATTTTTCGTCTCGTCGATGATCGAACTATTCATCCATCTGTCTATTCTCGGCGCGTGCACGAGCATACGCCGTGCCCGTGAAACGAGCATGGCAATCGCATTAATCGTCCGACGTGCATGAAACGTTGTTAACGAGGATACGGCAATCGGCTCAGGAATCAAGGGCAATCGAATTATTTTCGGTAATCTACGTCTCATACGTTAAATAAAAATTATAATTTTGATTCTACAATGAAATTATATTGCGTACAGTCGGTGTAACAAGTATTCGTACAGAACCAATTCAAAATAAAACTATGTATTTATTTTATTAATAAATTTTAGGGGAAGAAATAATTAACCAACACTCCTACGTATCGTTAGAGTAGAATTTGCGCAAATTAAAGTTTTAAATTAACTTTTAATGTTAGCCTCTTATTTCTTTTCTTATTAATTTTATTTTAAATTGGTTGCTGTACGAATACTTCTTACACCGACTGTATGTACCGCAAACGAAATATTTTAAGTGACGACTACCATAATAAAATACACCAGAGTCAAACTTGCCCCTAAAACGTAAATTCATGGATGTACATACTACTTCGATATCCGTAAATGCATCGATAGTAAAATAACGTGCAGCGATATCAAAGATATTATAAATGTTATAGCCTCCTCGATATTGGGTCAGCGATCCGCTTTCTTCCCGTAGCCGAGGCCGCTTTTCCAAGAAATCGTAACTTCCGATATCGAGGATTTCGGATCGTTGGACTTTTTTTCGATCGATCGTAAAAACACGAGGGCAATATCGACCGCGAGCTTTGGAGCCTTGTCAGCGTTGCTAGACTCTCCTTTCTTGGTGAGAAGTCTGACTCATCCAATACCGACGGCCGTAAACCGGCAAATAAAATCGCGTCGATTATCTTTCGAGAAACAATGTTCCGACGGCTGAGTCTCTTCTAGGAAGGATCGAAACACGTGCAACGCGCACCGCCATTAATCGAAGTTAGGGTTACCACCTGTACCTCTTATGGAAGCGTTAAGAGGGGTTCGTGTGAGTCAGCGTTGGGCAAATTTTATTTTGAATAAAGAATCGGAATTCCGGGCTTGTACGTAATGTGCACGTGAAATTTTGATGAAAGGTACTTGCAATTATTCCTGATATCAAACTCGTTCGTTCTAGTCATGAAACTTTGATATTCACTTCAATGAAAATAAACAGATATTATACTTTAAAGAATGAAGACTTCACCTGCTCCTCGCAATAGTACATCCCTCTTTCTTGTGACCACGGCCGGTAACCCTAACCGAAGTTCGAAGTTCGTTCGTCGTCCCCGTGCTCGACGAGACGCTCGAAATGTCGCTTAATTTTAGATATCGTTGCGTCCGTGATTCCTCGCGAAACTTCCAACTTCGTCGCCCACCGACATTTTCTCCGAGACGAAAAAAAGAGTAACCGTGCACGCGAACGCGCCCCGGTATTGTCGATATCGATCGTCTTGCGATTGTAGCTGGCCTGCTAACGGACCGACGGAGTCTCGAACACGCGTGAATATGTTTCATCCAATTGATCGATTATGCGATGGAATTAAAAAGTTAACCTTCAAGACTAATCAACCTAGCAGCTTGTCCGAAAAGTCCATGTCGATGTTTGGTAGGTGGTACAGGTCTGAATATATCGAAATGGTTGAAAACAAATAACACGTATACATCCCTTAAAAGGTGGAAAGGTTGTGGAACAAAATGGCACCTATGTAATTCAATAAATGTATATTAAAATTCAAACGGGTTTTTGAATTTTTCTTAGAAATTGGCACGAACTTTCTGGACAACCTAATAATTTCTCGTTCGACCATGGGGTTAATTTAACTAACAAGAAATTCATATCAAGAAATCCTCCGATTAGTATTTATAAAGTCTAGAAGTGTAAGTCTAAAAAGTCGATTAATAGGCCAACGGTCGGTAAAGTGTCGAGTAAATACACGAATATTAATTTATCCACCTAGTTCCAGCCCTACTACATAGTACCGATCGAGCTAGAAGATGGACGACGGATAGGATATATCCTTTCACCGCGTGCGAGGGTTTCGTTCCCGACGCGTTAGCAGCGTGCAACGAGACCAGAACGAAAGCTACCTCCTTCGAGTCATTGATCGCGTTCCTCTTACGCGCTCCAGATGTTACGCGATGTTCTCTCACGTACATCGAACGATCTTCCTCGAAACACGAGAGCCTACGTTGCACCTCCAGAGAGAACGCGATCGACCGTTTACTCCGCGAGTTACGGCTCCAGTCGAACGCCAAGTTGACTGTTTCAATGATGGACAAGATATAATTGAGAATGCTTGTAGTATAAAAGGCGAGTTTGTGGTCTTCTATGAAAGCCAAAGTAACTTAAGAATTCTGATTAAATTGCAATTACTAAAACCTGAATTGAATTAGCGCGTACAGTAGGTACGTTGCAGTAGCGACGCCAGTGAAGTTCAGACGGTTAAATTAATCGCTGGTACAAGTACTATATGATACATATTTCACTTATTAGACTCGGTTTCAGATCAATATCTGTATAATATTTCATAATTCGCATAATGATGGGACAACACAGTAGTAATTGTCATGGTAAAAAGCTAAAAGAATAAGCTACCAGTGGAGTGTTCAACTAATCAAGAATTAGATCAAACAGATGATTGATTATCGTCTACGAGTAATTAATCAAAGAAATTAATAGTTAATCGTGACGAGCGTTCGATGGTTATTTATTTCGATAGTCAACCGTTGCTTTATTGAATTTTATCTACTATAGTTATAGGGTTACCATCGGGTTCGCGGAATCCGTTGCGCCACGATCGTGGCTCCGTTTTAAATTTCGCACCCAACCGTCGTTGAAAAAAGGAACGACGGAAAGAAAACAAACATGGCGAGGGAATGTTCCTGGTCGGAGCGCAAGGGCGACCGTTCGTCTCGTGTACACAGGTGTAAGCACGCGTGCGAGCGTCCAAGTTCGATTATCTCTCGGCGATAACTTCGATCGTTTGGAAGCGCAACGGTTCGTTCGCGAATCGGTCGATTGTTGCTGGGAAAACACGGGAGCCAGGTGGTCGCGGTTACGGGGCACACGTTACCAGCGAGAGTTCGCGACAGGAAAGCGAAACCGGTCCGAGCTGAGTATTTCTACGACGTTTAGTTCGACCCACGCGCAAATCTAACAACTGTCGTTTAAAGCCGATATATCTTATGCCACCGCGACGGAAGCGAAACAAGTCTAGTCTCCAGAACCAAGTCGATACGATAAAGCTCGCGGCAAACGGGGGATAAAAGCTGCCCCGTTGCGGCTCTTATCGCGGATCACCTGCACTCGCCACCACAAATCGCAGAGAAAAATATTCTCCCGTGGATAAAGAAATAACTACTCGATAAACGAAAATTAGAATTCGAAACGGACAATGAGATATTTCACAACGGACAGATAACAATGTAATCCTTCGATCGAGTATATGTCACGAGTAAGTTAACGTTGATGTACGGTACGCGAATAAGATTGTTCATCTGTACCCCGAATCACCGCGATCGGCCGACTAAATTTCTAAAAATATCCTCCACCGCGAGACCTCACTCACCGTCCGTCCTCTTGATATTGATGCTGTAGCCGGTCTGGATGTCGCACATGCTGTTATCCATGGTCATTTAGTAGCTTTCTCGCACACGGTAGCCGCACCACAGTAAAATACCCGGCTCTTCACCGGATCAGGTCGATGGCAACGATGATAATATCGCGATCGACGAGTGACGAGAAACGGCACGATTCACGGGAGAAGCCTTACCGCGTTCGCGAGCCTTCCAAATCCGACCGTTGACAGTTACGACTACGTTCGTATTCAAAATCACGCGGCAGAGCGTTGCGTTCGTCTTCTCCGCCGTGGTAGTTTTCCGTTCCCGTTCCCCTAAGCCGTTGTTCTGCTCTGTTTTGCCCGTGCCGTGCCTCACCGTCGTTCTCGCGTACGTTCTTCCTGTGGTCGCGGTCTCTGTCGCCGTCGTTCTTCGCCGCCTATTGCCACCGTTGTATACGTTCGCGTCAGGGACGTCGCCGATCGTCCAAGGCACGCCCGTTTCGCCAATTCTCCGACAAAACTACGGGGTCGCGAATCCCGCGCGACGCGACACGTTCCCTTTTCCACGAATGTCACTGCACACCGAAACAAACTCGCGACAACGCGAAATTACATCCGGAGAGCCGTCGAGTTTCACGAACGAGATGTTTCCGGGATTTTCTGCCGGGATACTGCCAGTGTCCGTTATTGACAACGGAAAGACTACGAGCGCCAACTTTCGGACGACCACGGCGACATCTGCCTTTGAATTCGAATTTCGCGAGGATAAATTACATCGATCTGCCATCTAGCGGCGTCTACCGCAAACCGATTCCTTGGTGGTCGGTAAAATTAACGTTCGCGTTTCTACTTTCGAATTAAATTATTTTCGTTTATGTTGCGACGGACAGGGTAGTCTTCTAAATTTGATAGAATTAATAATAGGGAGTCTACACGTTTGAGGTACAGGGGTAGCCTTCTAAATTTGATAGAATTAATAGTAGGTAACCTATGCTCATTTTGCCATCTATCGGCGTCTACCGCAAACCGATTCCTTGGTAGTCGATAAATTTAGTGTTTAATATAAATAAATATCTTACCTTCTTAGTTGAATGAGTTACCAGTTTTGCCAATTCGCCAAATGCTGCTGGACATGGAGACATTCCCGTTTGAATTGGAGACAATCCCATTTCCCACTCAAAGTGTCGACAATTCATCATGGCGTCGGTGACGCCACTCCTCGTTCGAATTTCTACCATACCTGTAACATAAGAGAATGATTAGTTTTAAATATTTGGCTACACAAGTATTGCTATATTACAATAAAACAACAATCGAGCTCGAAATAATTCCCAAAAGATTGCAATTGTGACGTAGAGAACCCTTGTCGATTGTTACCGAATGTAGGAAAAGTCAGCACGAAGCCGATCGAACTTTTCTCAAGATATTGATTGAATTTATAATCAAAAGTCAGTAAATATTAGATGAAAGTACTAAAAGAAAGTAAACGAGAGTAGTAATAGTTATTAACAACAATCACGTAACAATTGTTAAAAGATAGATATACTATACTTACCTTCCTACCTTCCTTACCTTCCTACGAAATAAAAAAATTTATAATAAAATAAAATAAAAGGAGGGGAGTTTGAGTTATTAAATGAGTATTTTATTTGTCAAAACAAAAGTCAATGTTCAAGTCTTCTCAATCGGATTCGATCTCCTCGGGTTTTTACTCGTTGTTCGTTACTTTTGGAAGCACAGCTAGTTTCACTAACGATTTCAATTCTTCTAAATTGCAATTCGTAGTCTTTCTCGATAATTGAACGATCCGTTTTAACCTGAAATTAAAAAATAGACGTACTGAAGTTTTCCTTACGTTGCACTTAGGTCATAAAAGAGTCTGATAAGTCAGGAATCTCACGTGTCCGAGCGTTGGATAACACACGATGGGAGAGATCCCTCTTTAATTTTCTCGAACACCTGCAATACATAGGAATGAGTTATAAGAGTCGAGGGATATTAATTCGCGATCAGAACGATTAATTACTTCGAACCCACGCTTCACGACATCCTTGTTCAATTCTGCAATTTTTGCCACATAGTGAGCGAAGCTGCTCGTCGTGCTACCATTAACCATTCGATACAGAAAGGCCACGGTTTCGTCTTCGTTCATTATGTACTCGAAAGTCTAAGAAAAACAAGATTAACATAAAAGCAAACGAAGAAAGTAACGTTCTACCAAGTGGAAAATCTTGTTTACCTGACGTTCGATTAGTGGCGTTCGAGGGAGAAATTCCAGGATACTGTGGGCATGCGTCACGGCGAACACATGAGGACAGTTATTGCCCCTTTCGGCGAATGAATTCAACACGGCTGCAACAAGCGGCCATCCACTATTTTCGGATGTTCCTTTGTCCAATTCGTCGGTTAACACGACGCTATCCGATGTAGACGCACGAATGGCTACATTGATCTGAAACAGAGTTGGACCGTGTAATTACGATGTAATTGATTCAATAATCACTACGAACACAACTATGTCGACTAGTACTTGTCTCAGGTTTTGCAAGAACGAGCTGGCATACAGTCCCACGCTCTCCGTGTTCAACATTTGAGTCAAGATACGGGAGACCATCCCTATAGTGGCCGATTTTGCGGGGACGTAGGATCCTATGTGAGCCATGAATATCACAAGTCCTATCTGTTTAAGGTATATGCTCTTGCCGCAGGAGTTTGGGCCCGTGATAACCTTGATCAGGCTCCCACCGTTCCCAGAGCGAATGTCGTTCGGGACGTATGTCGTCAAACATTCCAGGATCGGATGTCGTCCTTCCTGTACATCTATAATCTTGGACGCCGTTATCATTGGCCTGACGTAATTGTAATCGCGCGCCACCTTCGAAAACGCCAACAGCCTACGAAAAAATACAGTACTTTAGAACAATAACAGCATTTGTTTCGCCAGCTATACGTACATGTCCAGTTCAGCACATAGTTGGACCCCTTGCAAAATCTGTGCGATGTGCTTCTTCACGAAACGTATCAGTTTCTGCACGATGTGATTTTGTCGAATCGCTATCTTCAAGATGATGTCCCCCACGGTCTCGTCCAGCTCTGAACCAAAGCAATTAGTTGGGAAGAAGAAGATACCGCGTTGACAGTCCAAGTTTTCGTAGCTACCTTTTGCTGAAGAGCTCTTGTAGTAATTCACGTTGTCTATACTAAATTTAAATTCTAAATTTCGAAACACCACGTCATCGGGTGGAGTTGGATTCCATTTGGTCACAGCCAAGACGTAGCCGATGTTTGGCAAATATAACATGTTACAACTTTCGACGGATGTTGGAAGATGCTCTCGCATGTCCTTCTCTCCCATTCGCGTGAGCAGCTCGGGCAAAGTGCGGCGTACGTGATTCACTGAAGACAGCACAGCGAAAAATTGATAATAGATTGTAGTAGACTACCATAGACCACCCTAATATACACGCACATTCGTCCAGCAAGGGATCAACGTTCGGTTTCACCGTGAGTCTTCCTTCTCGCCTGCTTTCGCTGAAGTCCACTATGTACTCGATGAAGTATTTCACGTATTGCGATTCGTTCGTGATGCTTTCAGCGATTCGTTTGCAAATGCCGATCCTCTCTGCGTAATTCTCGCATATGTCGCCGATGCAAATTACGTGGGAGACAGTCTGGATATAAATGAATTTGTTACCACTATGGAGAAAATGTGTATTTCTTTGCGCTATGATTACCTTGTGCAATTTGTACCAATTCGACGCTTTAGCCTGTGACCCGGAGCAGCAGGCCAGCACGGCATTCGTCAAACGGTACACGTGATTCAAACAGGACGACAAATTCTCAACCACGCTTTGATTGGCTGGATTCAGGAAGAATTCGACCGCGTCCAACCGATCTTGAAGCACCTCGAGGTTTCGCGTTGGATGCTGCAGCGTTTTCCTAAAAAATAAAAAAAAGAGAAAGAAATAGTAAGAATCATTATGATTAAAAAGAGATGTTTATTCCATAGATTCACCATAGGAACTGTGACCCAGGTCTCGAGTGGCAGTAGCGATTCAATAGAGCGAAAAGACTCGCTCCCTTCGTTGTTGTGGTCGTTTTTCCAAACTTAAAGAGGCTCGGGTGATCCCTGGCTTGAACGATGCTCAACGCTTTGTAAGTATCGTCGTCCAACATGACCAGGTCGCGCCTCGAATTAAAAAGAAAAAGTAACCATGTGTATTAGTTAGTAGCGTCACCACTTCGCGTGCTCGCCGTGCGCTGAAACCTACAACGTGACGTAATTGAGCGCTACAAAGGATGGTTTTCCAGATGGATCCAGGGCGATGTTGTTCCAGTGCCTGTCGACGAACAACAACAGCAACCCCAGCGCGTGAATCATGGCGTGGCATTTGAAATTCAACATGCTGTTTAAGAAAGTAAGCCTGACAGAGTTGCTCGCGTTCCTCGGCTCGAACTCCAATCGAAGACACCTTACTCTGTGAGCGCATCGTTCGTAATTGTGTTCCTTCTTGCCCACCAACTTCAACACGGTGTTGCGCACGCGATCGTTCGAGTTCAAAGACTCCCTTTCGCTGTTCATTGTTTCCATCAACATCTTTTTTACAGCATTGAGGAAGATAAGTGGCGCGCCAGCGATCGTGACCAAGTATTGTGGCTGGCACTGCCTGTACAGAGCTCTCGATAAGTCGAATCGTTCGGTATCTTCAGGAGTGTCCTCCATTACGAATAATTCAGATGTGGCTATGTTGTAATATGCGGCGCCAAGGTGATTCTTGTTCCAAATCATTGATAAGATGATCTGTTGAATAAGAAGAGTGGAACCGGCGATCGTGGTGGTCGTCGTAACGTGAACAATGTTTTTGCTTTAAACAATGCTCTGGTACTTACCTCGTCTGTGTCTTCGGTAGCAACAACTTCTGGAACCTTGGAATTGGTGGGTTGCGTTGCTCGTCGATTTGTTAATTGAGGTTTAATCGCTTCCTCTTTGCTATTCGAGGTCTCCTCCTCGTCGCTACTCTCCGATAGCAAGTGTTCGAATTCGGATCGTCTTTGTGGGATAAGGGATAGTAATTATTTAAGCTTTTCTTTTTCATACATGGTAGGTTACAAATTTGTTGCGAACAATGTTCATACATGAGAGCACTAGAAGGAGCGGTTCGAGAGGATCTGAATCCTGTACTCGACGAGGCAGCCACGCATCGAGAGCCATTTCCGATGATGTTCATGATCTTCACTTTATTGAGACGATTTCAAACGTATCAGTAAAAGACTTGTATTCGAATTTCAAATATTTATTGTTGCGCAAGTGCAGTGATTTACCAGCGATGGCCCAAGTTTGTCGTGAAATAGTTCGCGCTTACATTACTAGATGACGCCACTAAACAAAACTTAAATTTGAAAATCTAAACACACGTATTTTTGGAGTAAACTAATTAAAAGGGTTTGTAACTAACTCAAAGTACGTCTTTAAGAAAATAAAAACCACGTTATAACAAGGACATGTTTTATTTATATTACATATGTATCTGTGTACTTGTGTGTGCGTCTGTTTACGTGTGTTGTACGAAAATACGCTTTCAATCGTTCGTGCAGTTAACCACTCAAAAATAGAGTCCTTTAGAATCTTACGTCTTACAAATTTGAGCTCTCTTATTAGTATCTCGTATTCGTTAACGGTTCGAATGTACAATAGTTAATCGAATTAAAAAACTCAGAGGAAAAGAGATGATTTCAAGGTAACAAACGCCAGTGCTTCTAAGAATTTAACCAATGATTGTAATATACTCAAGAGCAACACATCCTACACGGAAAAGTATAACTGGTTAAGCCAACCCAAATAGGATTGTTTTCATCAAGGTAAAATCATGTCATATATCTTGTAAGTTATTTCGAATGTGCCTTTTCTTGTTACTTAAACGAAATATTTAGCTGAGACAGAATTATTAAATAATAGTTACACCCACTAAATGTAATTGGTGCTAGTCACCCTTATTGTTGGTTACAATTAGGCTTTTCGTTTAGTTATTATTCTGCTTCATTAAAAAGTATGAAATTCTTATAAATAATGCTTAGAATGAGAAACATATATTTGTTATTTTATTAATATTTGTAGTTACTGTCTTCGTTAGTTTTAACCAGTAGTGGATACAGGGCCATGATTTCATAGCCTCTATCTCCCCCAGTCTTTCTAGGCGCATCGCTGTAGGACAAGGGTTAATTTATTTGTGAGGGCAACCAATCATCTTTTTCCGTGTATGATCAAAAGGTTCGACGATTAACTCGGAATGGGTGGAGGGGGTTGAGGGTTGAAGGTAATCGGCCGATAAGTCTTCTTCTTCGTAAAAGGTTGTACTCCGTTTAGTATGAAATCGTGCGTGGGATTCCTCGGCCGTTTCGCTGGTTCCAGAGGAGTCTCCTCTTCCGAGGTCGCCGCGTCGTCGCTTCGTTCTGGACTAGCCGACCTGCTTAACGTTCGTTTGCTCTTTTGTGTCTGCGTTCCATCATTTTTGTTCTTCCGTCGCGTTTCGAAACGACAGAAATGGTTCGCGATTAGGCGACTCGACAAATCAACTTCTCAGTTTTTATTTAAAAAAAAATACGGTGTACATCTGTCGCGAGTCGCCTAATCGCTTAAAGGTCCATGCGTAATTAGAAGCATTCTCTCGTTTAGCTTTAGTGAAGCGTTGTTAGATGACTAGAGGCGTTAAGACTACGCGTATGTAATACATATATCATGCCCACCTTAAAACCTGCGTGAAACGAAAAATCAAATAGCCAAACATTAGTATTCGAATCCCGCGATGGATCGCGCGAGTTTATAGAAACGAAGGGAGGGGGCTCGAAGGGCCGCGAGCACGTGGCATGCATATAGTCAGAGGTCGACAATCGAAGGATAGCACTTAGAGGTGGGTAACTGCGTTCAACGTGGTTGTGGCATCGACAAAAGCAGGAATCGAGGTTTTGCCACGGTTACCGTTGAACGTACCTAGATCTATGGGTTTTGCTTTTGACTCCAGTTTCCCTGGAATGCGGCCTCGTGTTTGGCTGAGAGAGCTCGCTGTCGCTGCTCGCGAAGGAAGACCTAGCTATCATCGCGCCATGAGCAAAATCTTTCCTGTGAAAGTAAAAAAAGAAATTTGATTCATCTTCTACGATTCATAGACTCCAAAAGAAAACCTACACGCTGGAGTTTACCTGTAATTGTCGGACCTGGGGGTAGAGTTTGACGTTACAGGCTTGCCAGGGTGAACGTTCACGTCTACGAACACGGGAGAACTTTTGGGGATGTCGCAAACGATCTTTGGATGGACGGTAGTCTGTTTGTATTCTAGATTAGATGAGGTATCAGGGGCCCAGTCGTAGTATTTGGGTCGGTAGCTGGTTTGTTCGCTGCGACGGTGCTTCGAGTCTGATGCCGATCCCGAACCAGAGCCAGGCTCCCGATGTCGATGAAACTCGCTGCTCGCTTCCAAGTTCTTTCCAGGCGTGCTCGTCGATTTTCCAGCTGGCTGCCAAGTTGGAGAGGAAGCTGTTGAAGAGGGAGCGCCATCCGGTTCGGCGCGGGACAGCTGCGAGCCATCCCACTCCACAGGTGGCAGGCTACTGCAATTTATTTATTCGTTTAAAAAAGGGATACTCTTCAAGGTGATTCAATTATTATTAATTCACTTACTTAAAATTCTCCTCCATTTCCTTGAACAGACGCAACTGTTGCCTGATGTTCGCCTTCTCCTTGGCGCGTTTGCGCTGGAACTCTTCCTCGACCTTCCTCATCGCTTCGAGTTCGCCCTTCCTCTGGCGTTCCTTCGCCTCTGCCTCCCTCGAGAGCTTCTCGGCCAACCTGCGCCTCTCGATCTGTCTTACCGTCGACTGGAAGGTGAACCGTCTGCTCTTCGACTTGTTCTTTGGTTGCGGTTTCCTCTCCTTCGACTCTGGCGATGGTTCTCTCTTAGGCGTTCGGTCGCAAGGAGACGAGTGTCGCCTCTGCTTAGCCTCGCCTGTATTCTCATACCTTTCGACGAAGCTCGAAGACTCACCCGTCGTCCTCGAACTCGCGACACCACCGTTGCAAGACCTTGAGTTCTTGGAACGTCGTTTCGTCGAGGAGACGCGGTCGTTTCCGTTCCCCGTTTCCTTTGAGCAAGTTTTCTCGCGAATGGTAACGTCCTCCTGTCCCGTGGGAGCTATTTTTCTGCCGTTCAGACTCAGCACCCGATGCTCGGCCTCGTTCGACTCTGGCAGGTACATGACGTGGCCTCCAGGTGTCAAATACGAGAAGGAAGGAGCTTTCATGATGACGGGAAAGTCGTTGAACTTGCTTTGCGACAGCACCTCGTCGCCTGCGTCTTCTTCGACTTCGTCGTCGCCCTCTGCGTCCACCTCTTCGTCTTCGTCTTCCGCTGTTATAAAATTTTATTGATTATTATAAACTATGATTCTACACAAGTCTGACTTAACGCTAGTAAAATTCACAGCATGACATTTACCACCGTCTATATCGTCTTCCTCTTCATCGTCGTCGATCTTGTCGACGTTTTCCTCGGGATCGTCACCGTTTTCTGTAGATCGTTCGCGGCCCACGAACGGTCTCCATACGGATGTCGAGACTCGCGTCACCTCGACGACCTGGTTGTGCTGCAGCGAGGTGGGCGCACTAGTGGACAGGAACCAATTGTCATCCAGAACGTCGGGTGCAGATTTTCTATGGATGTCGCCGATACCAAACGCTCCCGATACCGATCTCTTGAGCTTCTTCAGGGAATTAAACGTCGATCCTTCTCTGGGTTTGGTTTCTGGGGCGCAGAGGTACGTTCTGGCGTCCTCCCTGGGCAACGAGAGGGAGAAGACGTGGGCTCTAGGGGGATACTTGAGCGGGGTAGGCAGGGGTGGTGGCGAATCGACGCCTGCGTCGCTACTCGACTCTTCGCCCAAGTCCTGCTGTGGCGTCCACGTCGGTCTCGTCGCTGGTGCCTTCACCCTGTTTATGGTACTCACGTCCAAGGAATCGTCGTTCGCTGCCCCAGCGTCACCGGATATACCCGAATCTCCAGACTTGTCGTGTAGACTACGAGGACCCAGCGCGAGCAATGGCGGCGGTGGCGGCGGTGGCCTCGAGAGACGCTCTATGCGTTCCTCGAACATCACCTGTGATATGAACATGGCAAACGATGATTATATCATTTCGTTCTTCTTTCACGAAAGTGCTGTGGTCTTTTACGAACCGGTATTTCTTCGCTGGCAGTGCTCATGCTAGGTCCTGGTGCTTCCAAAGCTGACAGCAATCTCCACGCCGCCGATGGCGAAAACCGTGGAATCTCCAGCTGTTTTTTTGGCAGGGTTGGTCGCAGTTTTAGGGAGATGTCTTCCACTACGTTTCGCCCCTGAAAAAATGCTAGTTATAAATAACAATGGTAGACAAAGTAAAACGAACATGGCGAATGAGAAGATATTTCTTATACCGAGTTGTCATCCGTATCGTCAGCTGTTTCCACCGAAGATCTGCCGTCGTCTCTGTCCTGGAACTTGTTTCGTGTGTCCTCCTTTCGGTGGTGCGCGTCGTTGCGAGATTCGCTCGTCAGTATCTCGTTCATGCCGAAATAGAACGTCTTTGGAGCTGACTGCGCTGACGAGAGGAACCTACCAATCAAGGAGCGTATAAGTATTGTTTCGTTTGAAGATCAATAAATATACCATGAATATACTTCAATTTTTTTTCATTTCTGTTGTAGAATTAAAGGAGAGTCTGCGCAGGTGAACTTACTGGTCGTCCTCTCGACGACGTTCCTCTAGGATCTTCCCTTCCTCGGGAAAGGCAGGTCCCAGCTTCGTTTCCGGTTTCTCAGGTGGCACGATCGCAGGCCATTTCTCTTCGGGCAACTGCTTCCGACGATTGCTCGCAGCATCGCCATTCCACCACCTGGGGTCCGAGTTCTCCTTATCCCCAGCCTTCCTCTCCTGGGTTTCTGGTGTGCTCGCCCTCCCAGCTGCCCAACCTCTAGTTTCTCGCGCATCCTTCGAACCACGCGTTGACGATGCTTCCACTGCGTTTCGACCGACTACACCGACATAGTCCTGTAGTTATGCACACATAAATGCAGCTATATCAAAAATCCATGACGAGATAGAAGTCTTGTACTCTGATAAAGTCATAACAAATTCGATGGAAAGAAAGCACGGAAGAAGATTTGTAGGAGTTTATACTGACCTCGTTGCGTTTTCCGTGTTTCCCGTTTTCGTTGGCTCGTCGACGACGATCCGCCACCTTGCTTTCCCGCCTCTCCCTCAAGGGCTTCCTAACTTCGTCTCGATCAGGACTCGAGGGTCCCTCTGCTTTGATTTCGGCATTAAATCGTTCCTCTACCCACTTGCCACTTCCACTCCTGCTCTTCATAGACACGCGTTCATTAGAATCACGGCTAACTCTCCTTTCAGGGCTCTTCTCCGCGCGTTCTCTTCCCTCCTCGAACTGTCGATCTCCCATGGAGTTAAGGGAGACCTCCAGTCTCCTATCCAGCGATCGAAACTCGGTCGTCGATTCGTTGCCCGTGAAATCGAGCTTGTCGCGCACTTTTCTCGCTACTTGGATGAGTTCTGCCTGGAATTCCGGGCTGCTCATGCTCCTCTGGAGCGTGTTCTTTCCATCGAAGAGCTTGGAACGCTGTCGATGGTCGTCGGAACGACGAATCCTCTCGCGATCCTGCCATTCGACGGCGGTCAGCGTCTCGTTGCCGCGACGAGGGTCCGCCTTGACTTGGTGCGAGGGTCCGTCGTGCAGGTGCGAGGTATCTGTGTATAATAACAAGAGTTTTAGTCGAGTTCCATAAATATCCGTACCATTTGTGTATTTTACAATTACAATTAATTCAACTCTGGTGAAAACTGGCCAGAACACCCACCATTCCTACAATCGTGGATTCTATCGCTAGGTTCCCGTCCACGTCCACGTTCGCGATCGAAGGCACGGTTCAGGCCAGACAGCTGCCAGCTGACCTGAGCCTTCTTCGACTCCGCCCTGGTCTTGAACAGTCGTGAGCGTCTAGGAGGCGGTTGGACCTCTCGTTCGAACCGACAACGAGCGTCGAAGTCTCTGGCGCACCTGGGATCGCCGTTCTGAGGGTTGTTGGCGAGCTCAAGCAACGTCGGCGGAGCAGGAGCTTTGTACTTCTTCCTGGCCTTGTATCTGCTCTCGACGCGCTCCTTGGCGTCCCTGTCGCCGCGTCTGTAACCAGAGGACCTTCCTTCGTCCCCATCGGCCAGTTTCCCAGGATTGGTTCGATCCTGGAGCGACGAACTCGTGTCGGGGGAGTAGCGAAGGTCCGGCTCGCTACCAAACCTCTTCAGCTCCAAGGAGAGCTCCTGGTGGCTGGCGTCGCTCTGGTAACGACGACAGTGTCGCTCTATCCTCCGCGAGCGGGACTCGACCACGTTCGACGCGGAGGTGCTCCTGCCTCGGAACGGCGCATCGTGCTGAAACATTGGTTAATTTGTTTAAGCGTCGTCTTTCTACAAATTTTGAGGAATTAAAAGTTCGTGCCAACTTTTAAGATAGGTACCATTTTGTTCCACAACCTTTCTACCTTTTAAGGGATCCATACATATTCAGATCTGTACCACCTACCAAAAATCGGCATGGACTTTCAGAATAATTCTATACATTCTATGAATCAACGACGACTCGTTGAACTAACGTAAACGTCTTCCGTAAAAGTCTACCTGCCCATAGAGGTAACACGGCAGAGTGAGTAATTAATGACTCACCCTCGTATCTATCTAGGTCCCTCGGGTGGGAAACGAGTGTTTTACCTTGCTAAGGTCGCGCGAGGACGCGAACGCCGGTGGTCTGCGGCCGCTTATGGTCCCGCCGTTGTGAATGATGCTCCCGTTGTCGGTGGCGCGCAGCCTCTGATTGGGTGGCTCGGGCAGGACCTTCCTCGCCGCCGTGGGCTGTTGCGAACGATGCCTCCCGAGCTCCCGAGGAAACGATTGCGACCACCCGCGGCTCGTTTCCGACCCTGGCAGCCCATTCGAGCACATGGACACCGCGTGTTCGTCCCGCGAGCTGCTCCCATTGTTACCCATCCTCGCGTCCTTCGCGTTGCCGCCTCCTCACGAGAAACGCCACTCGTCCGCCATCGCGCATCTATCACACCAGAAATCGGGTCAGATGGTGGTGGATCAAGGAATACTGCTGGATACTTGCGAGAGGATAAAGTATCTTTATCTTCGGTTATTCTATGTTCATTAACTATACTCTTCTTTGGTAACCATGTATTCTTAGTTCTATTTATCCCAACACTAAACCTACCGCGACCAGTGAAATGATTGTTTCATCCATTATCCAATTCAATTCCATGTCAAATATTTATCCATTTAATCGAAAGAAGTGTCTTTAATACGTCGGTAGGTTTAGTGTTGAACAGTCCTGCAGGGTTCTGTTTGCAAGGATTGTTTCACTTCTACTGCGCGACTCTATAGATTTTTAAAGACGCAGTGTAAACAATGAAATATGTACCCCTGCTAAAGCTTTAATGTCCCCCTCTGAATTCATTTACCTAAACTGAACTAAATTAAATATCCACTCGAACGCCACTTATCTTCGTCTAAATAGTCTATCTTTGACTCGATTTTCTCGCTCTGAGACTGTGCCCAGAGGTGACCAAGACGGAGGACGACGTTGGGGAGTAGGAGGAGGAGAAGGAGGGATCGAGGAAGGAGGAGAATAGAGGAAGACGTTTACCCCTCGCGGTGATCGCAGTCAAGAGTCGTCGAACTTGTCAGAGAAGACGGTTCACCGTAGACCCGCGATCCTTCTTCCTTCGCGTCTATCGTTTAGGAACTGTTCGAAGCCGCGAGCCGACTGGCCAGGAATCTGGAACCGATTTTTCAAGCTCCGACGGTTGCTAGCGGGAAACGGAGCTGCGATCCGCTAGAAACGGGCCAAGTTTCCTCCGACGTTCGACTGTTCGAGATCGAACGAACAGCAGGGAACGCTGCTCGTCCGTCGAAGCGAAGCGAAGCGGCAGGCAACCGAGATACCAGCGATAACGGGTTTTGCCTAACGGTTTCGAATTGGTCCGAGGGACTCGATAAATCGACGAACAACCCAGACCGGATCGCGACGATCCAACATCGGTAGATCACGCGTCGACGGACCCGCGCATCGTTTCCTCCGCGACGAGGGCCACGCGGGACGCGACAATTTTGAGGAGACGTGGTAGGCAGAGAGGGAATCGAGAAATATTAGATATTAACCCTTTGCACTCGACGCTTTTTTTTCTGGTATTTTCCAGCAACTCGAGATCTTTGCTTGGCGTTCTATTCCCATGAATGCTAACATCTCTTATTTGAGATTTGGGAATCGGCTTATCTTTGCCTCACCAAAGGGTTAAGGTCTATTACGTCGTTTGCTTGGATGATCCTCTTCCAGTACCAGAGTTAAACGAACCAATCCATGCACAGATACGAATATTATCAACATTGAACAATTCTTTTCAGAGTTTCCTTGTATACGAAACATACTTTTCCCGATAAGAGCCGTCTTCGACGACGACCACAGCCAGAGTAGATAAGTAAAATAGACGAATAGACGCGGTGCATATGTGCGCGTGCAAGAAATATGCCGCAGGCAACGAGCGCGGACGCGTGCCATTCCGCGTCGATCCTCCTCGGAAAACGTAAAACGCGACGTTGCGTAAAGTCGAAGAGAAAGTTGCCCGAACGTGTACCAAGATGCTTGAGAGCGTATCGTTCTTACGTTTCATCGCTTTTTTCATTGTTTTATTTAACCGCGCCGGGGGATACACGCTTCTTCGACATACGTCACGAACTTTCAAACGGAGAAATTAAATTGGCTGGTTAAAAAAAAAGGTATCATGTTGTGAGAAGAAACGAAAGACGATTCGAGGAATGGTGCGGTTGGCTCGACGTTGGGTTTCTAAAAAAGAAGTTGCAAGGCTTGTCTAATAACTTTTTAGATTATTCTTTTCAGTTTCTCTGCAAACCGTGGTATATCTTTCTTCTGCGTTTGGTAGTTTGGATAATTATTATCTATCCAGTATCTATTCTAAAAGGTTTCTTTAAATTACAACAGTGTCGTTAAAGCTCCAGCAATCATCGATACAGAAAATTGACGACACCTAGAGGGACCAGACTTGAAGTACTCACCTAAACGATCGCAGCAGTCTACTTCGGATAGAGACCAAATGGATAAGAGCCGGCCGCGCGCGGACAGGTGGATCGAGAAAGGATGAAAAACGTGTGACTGATCGGATCGGATCGAATCGAATCGGATCGAGGTCGCGGTCCTCGTGCGAAAAAGAAAGTCTTCCTGGGGCGCGGACGAGTCCGATCCGGTAAATCCGGTGAGAGCGGACGAGCCGCGACTCCTGTCAGCCCGTTTTTACCTTCTCCTCTCCGTTCTCTCTTCGCTTTCGACACCGAACCCGCGTCGATGACCGAAATTCGTTTAACGAGGCTCTGCGGAATCCCTCAACGATCCGAAAGTCGGCGAACCTCGCTCGGACACGCGGAAGTCCTCCATTCGTCCATGGAAACCGCGAGAAGCGTGAATCCTCGGGATCTCTGCGATCTTAGACAATAAGAACGCATGATCGAATGTAAGTATGCGTGACGGAGACTTGGAGAAGATATTTGTTTATTTATTCTGTTGGAACAGGCCCTGTGATGCGATAAATAGAAATCAAGAAATTTTGGTTTCGTAGCTGCAAGAGAATTTTTGGAGTAAGGAGAGCGAAAGGGTTCTGAGATGAGAGAAAGAGAGAGAGAGAGAGAGAAAGTGATTGGACAAGAAATAGATATAAAAAGAAATGTTAAGTTTGTAAAAGTAGACTTCAAATCAAGTCCAACCCAGGAAAACCATGACTCGATGCCCCCTAATCAGAATCCTCGACCTCCAGCGCTCGATCTCCAGGCGAGTGATGGATTCGACGAGTGGAATGACCCCAGCGTTCTCCAGGGCGCATCTATCCGTATTTGGGTCAAGATAGGAGGACAACAGTCCCGAGAGCCGAGGAATGTTGTATAAGTGCCGACATAACCGTGGGCAACAGTTCTGCGATCGTTAAGTGTGTCCATCTTTAGAAATCATAAGATCGACCACACTTACAGACGAATGTCATGCAAACAGTTGGAGGACGAAGGCTCTCGCGCACCCGAGAACACGCGGCGATCTCTACGGCCTACATTCCGGCACTTTGAACGTTTCTAGAGATCGGCGTTGCGTAAAGAGACGACGCGGGACGCGAAAGCCGCGATTCCACGCGTCCCTCCGAGGTCCTCGAACGTGGAATCGCTTCCGAACGGTCGCGTACGACCGCCGATGGGCGTGAGGTCGTGTACGACCGACATCGGCGTCGAGCGTGACAATCGTAATCGTCGGGACACGATCATACCTGAAGTATGGAATATACACATATGAAAAACTGGAGAAGTTATGCATTTATAGAAACTGAAACATGGAAAAATGCGAAAGGATATTTCTCCTCTGTTATGTCCCCGAGAGGATGGTGAGTGTCGACTCGACGATCGCATTGGCGCGCGCCGACAGACGCGGGCTGTTGTCCGTTTGCTCGCACGGCGATTAGTCGCGGATCGTTAGCTCGCTTCACGGAACGCGAGCACGCCGAATAGTTCCACGATCTCGTATCGATCTTATGCGCCGGACCTTCGCCTCGATTTCTCTCGTAACGGTCCAGATGGTACAAATTTCAGGTGTACCGTAATTGAAGAGACCATCCGCGTTGCTAGGAGCCACGTGAGATGCCTCGCGGGACAAGGATGGGACTCGCTAACGTTTTCACGAGTTTGGTCTGTGCTAGACAGAGACGAGCAGTCTTATCTGGATGAAAGTTTCGGGTAACAGATGAAAGACGAACGATCTACCTCGTTAAGTCAAAATTGGAGGGTGAATCGTGTAATTAAATATTTCAGAATTGAAAATTTAATTGGAGATCGTATATTATAAGCAACTCTTTCTTCCCTATAGTAATTTACTACGCGAATTCTTTTTCAGCGGTTGCTCGACCAGCAACGGAACGTGAAACACGGAAGTAACCGGAAATCGCGAGCCTAGTGGAATCGTTTAGAAACAGACACCGGTCGTCCTTGTTGTTAATTAACGTCGATCGCGTTCGTGGAAGCTTCAGGGGCGGTCGAGATCGATGCTCGTGACGACTTTGGGCGGGTGAACCAGACGAGATAAAAGCAAACGCGTTAAACGTTATCCACGAATGAGAGTAACGGCTGGAGGAGGAGTATGAGCGAACGCGTAACCGGTTATCGTTTAACCGCCCTATAATCGTTGGATCTTCTTGTCTCTTGCTCGCACCAGAATTCCGATTTTTTCATTTCCTCTTTGCCCCCACGACCGTCTTGTTCGAACTCGTCTCTGCAAGAACGATCCGTTTCTCTGATCGAGCGATGCATCGAGCCCGAACCTCGATTGGGAAACTCGCGACAGGTGGTTCTCCAAATCGATCGCTTTTCTATGTAATCCATGCCGCGAATTTCGTTGAAATTTGGGTACGTTGTGGTCCATGCTATAAGAAGAGAGGTTTAAGTCATCGTTTCAGTGTCTTGCGAGTTGTTTAAAAAATACGGATGATCAAAGTTGAAGGTTGAAATTGATCGTTAATAAAATGAATAAAACTAATAGCTGAAGGGGGAAGATAAATAGGAAAACGTTTCATCTCCTTGGTTAAACCCTCCGAGCGAATTTTCCCTCGGCTCGAGGCGGATTCCTCGCATACCAAGACTCGCCGTCGGCAAAAAAATCTTCGACTTATCGAGCTCGAGGTTGTCGAGAATGTGCGCGCCGCCGATACGCCATCGCGCGATCGTTTCTTCTCAGCCTTTACGTCGCGTCTCTAGGACGCTATACTGTATTTTTGGAAATATAAAAACTTACTTTACTCTCGGATAAAACACGTGGTCTCGTAACCGACAAACGCAGACGGTGAATTAATATATGGGGCGTTTAGATTTCTAAAGCTAGAAAACCAGGTGTGCGTGCGAATGATAAATGCAAACCACGAATTACCGTCTACTTGACGATAAATACACGCGACGTGCTCTGAAAAGTGTCGCGAAGTCATCGATTTGGGATGTCTCCCGCTGTCGATA